TTCCAGCCAGAGGCGGTCACTATGGCTTCATTGCGTCCGTCTGCATCTTCTTGTGCCCTCTTAGTGGAGCTCCAGTCCACTGCTGGGCTCCGTGCAACAAAGTCACGGCTAGCACGCGTCTCCTTGGCCGGGCTATCATCGGAAACGCCCGAAATGCGTGCACAGGTAGCAGCTCAGCTTGCTTCACCGTCGCTACCGCCACCTCCGTCGTCGTTCCAGCAACCGTCGCTGCCGTCGCGTTCATCTTCTCCGTCGCCTCCTTCGCCACCACCTCCATCGCCACCGTCGTCTCCGTTGCCTCCTGGATCTTATGTGGCTTCGCCTGCTTCAGCTTCGCCCGCGATGAACTCCGCGGCCATCATTCCCCCCCTGACGATGGTTCCGTGGCGTCGGACGTGTCTGGCGAGTCGATTTTGAATCGTCTAAAAGAATTGCATTGTGGTCCGCTTTTCGGCAGCTCCTCCGAAGAATCAGAGGAGGACGACTCGGAGGCTTTGCGTGCCACACGTCCACCATCCCCCACTCCATCAGCGAGTGGTTTGTTTGACGATAACAGCGACGAGGATACCGAAGTGGTTGGTGGGCTCAATCGACTCAGGCGATGTACTGACTCGGGCGACTGGCATCTGTATGCCTTGCCTCCTGTTCCGGCGAAGCATCCTGTGAATGGCCGAGCCAATCACTACGATCCAACAGCCCCTTGGGATTACTCCGTTCCTGTCAACGTTGAGCAGCTCCACGACGTTCGCGGTGAACATCCGCATCGGTGCTTTCTTGTGGAATGGCAAATTACGCCGCTTCAATTGAGTTGGGTTTGGGAGGAGCAACTCGTCCCACGATTTGCTCGCCGTATCGATCAAGTAATGCAGTGGTGTGAAGATCTACGCCCTGGTGCATTCGCCAACTATTACAAGAAGCATTTCGTTCGTCGTGACCAGGCTTCTCCCGCTGGTGGCTGCTTCATGGACGCGTTTCGCGCGGCGCTGTATCACCTTGGTGACATTGGCCTTGCCTCCACGGCCACTGAACTATGGGTAGACTTCGAGCGTGATCATCCAGGTACTGTCGACGGGGTTTCTCGTGCGGAAGCTACGGAGTTCTTTCGAGTTCTTCAACGCAACAACTTTCCGCTGGATTACGATCTTCTCTTCCAGAGTCCACTTGATGCTTCGTATACGAATGTGGAACGGTTCCAGTCGTTTGTCCAAACACTGCGTGAGGGAGTGTATCTCACAAGTATCGGTGACGGTCTCGTTGGACACTGCGTTGTTGTTCTCGCGAAAGGTCCAGACACTGCTGTCTCGGTACTGGATGGAGTCGAACCGCCTGTGACCCCGGAGCCTTTGACGAACTTGGAGTATCTCGACAAAGTCAAATGGATGGGTTTGATGAAGTTGAATCCGGGGTACCGTTGCCGCTGTGGTAAACCCAAGTCTAGGCCGAATCGGTAGAAAACTCGCCGCGAGAAGAAGAAGCAGCAGAAGTTGTAGGGGATGTAACGCGAGAATACATGTAGGCTCTTGGGCCCCCTTTACTCTTGACTCTCCTGTTCATCTTCTTCGCCGTTTCCTTCTCCTGGATGCTTCGAAGCCTGAAATGAGATCTGGGACTTGTGAGAGATTCTCGATCGGCTCCCAAGTGGGTTTCTCCTCACCCACCCACTCCACAAGAAATTGGGTTCGTTTCTTGTGAATTCTCTTGCCAAGAAGTCTTTGGATGAGTTGCCCAACTGTACCGTCGGCGAGGACGACATTATGGGGTCTCGATAGACGAGTAGCGTCCTTGTATGGTTTCAACGATCCGGTGTTGAAGACTGGATGAAGTTTGTTATCGGCTTGGATGTTGAGCTCATACGCGTGATTGTGGATCCTTTTCACCACCGTATAGGGACCTATCCACTTCGGACCAAGCTTGCTTGAGATGGGTAACCCTGTATGCCTGCGATCCAAGTGCTTGGTGCTCAAGTACACTCGGTCGCCCACTTTGAAGACTTGTTCCTCTCGGTTTCGGTCGTACACGTCACGCATTCGCTCCTGTGCTTCGGCTAGTGCTTCCTGGCATTGCCGAAGAAGAGCCGCTTGATGCTCATGGAACTCA